GCCCTTTTCCCTTACAGTGAGCAGTCATAGGGAGCTTGTTCGCTTGCTAAGTTTTTTTAAAAAACACCTTGTTCTGTTTACCTTGACATTAGTATGTTCCCAGTTGTTAAATCAGAGACTGGAACTCTCCAAGAAAACAAAACTTTGTGTAATAGAGGAGTATAAATACTAGCACTATAGGCTTTAATAATTAATTTTTCATTTCAAAATAGATAGCCCATGCTGAAGAATATTAGAGTCTGCTTAAGGTCACGCGTTGTAAAAAAAAAAAAAAACTACAATTCGTTCGAAGGAACAATATCCAGCGACCATGTTCTCATTGTCTTTGAGTGCTCACTGGGACAAGGGGGAATAGCTGCAAGCAGGGGATTGAAAATCTCTTGCATGTCCTTTTATTTTTTCATTTCTGTAATGATGCCACCTTAGGCCTTATATATGTGCACATGCAGCTGATCATTGACAGATTATTTTCGGTATAGTGTGTTCTCCTAAATATTCTCTGGAATCTCTAAAATTATTTATTGTACAGAAAAAAATAGCCATTCTTCCTAGACGTCCTGGGAAGATGATGTCCAAAATTTGACATGACTTCTTTACTACTGACTGAAAACACCGAGAAGTAACATCCCTTTATTTAAGGTTAGAGACTTGTCATTATAAAGAGGGGGAGGGCTGGTGAAAGTAGAGGAGGAATGAACACGCCATTAACCTGAACTTGTTTGTAAGCGCCGCCGTACCCCCGTGTGGGGATTGGAACTAGTGGACTAAAGGAGTTTTCGTGAGCACATGGAAATGACTGTAGTGTTTTTGATGTGTGAATAGAATTTCTCGCGCCTAAGAATATCCATAGTGGTCCTTCGAGCACCGGATACAGGAGAATCATAGCGGTTTTTGGATTATAGGGTCGCAAAATGGAAGCATGGCGGAGAACTCGGCGAAATTGCATGTGGAAGTGTCAGATGTGGACGTGCGAAGTGAAATCGTGACACGTGAAAGTTAAGGAACCTGCCGCGGTATTTGAGCGATTACACCAAAGTTCCCGGTCAAAAGAAGCTTTAGACAATCAACAACAGAAGAAAATCGATACGAGCAAATTTGACGCGGAAGATGAATATCCTAAAGGAGTACCTAGAGGAACGGAAAGACCGTAAGTTAATTGAGCTTGCGTGTACTCAACTCAATCGAGCGTGGAATCAATTGATCGAGAATCATGGAGAATTTCAAGCCTTGTGTGATGACGATGAGGAACTGCATGAAGCAGATACATGGTTATTGGAGTCCCAAGCACTTGTAGAGGAACTGATTTGTAGAACTGTTTGCTATGGTGAAGTGAAAAAACACACTAGTGGAACGGTCTCAAAAGCTCACATCGAGCGAGAAGCACCTAAAATTCGGACGGAGCGAACCGACAACTCTTCAATCACCAGCTTTGGCCGTCAAAGCAAGAAAAGTAGCAGCAAAATGACTTCTTCTGTGTCTCAAGAACGTGCAAGAGCAGCGGCTAGGGAAGCTGATCTAGCTAAGCTGAAAGTAAAGCAGCTTAAAGAGAAAGCTAAATTGGAAGCTAACATTGCAGCACAGGAATTCAGGAAGCTGAACACGAGGCAGGTAGGAAGGAAATTGAGGCATTGCTGTTAAAAGAAGAATTAGATGAATATGATTTGTCTGATCGTATGAACGATGTTGGGGATAAATCAGTGTGAGAGGACAAGGTAAAGATTGAGACAACTCCCAAAGTCAAATAAGAAGATGTCCTTATAAATGATATTAAGGACTCGAAGGAGAAAGTTAAGGAATGGTTGAAACAGTGAGCCCTAAGGAGGAGGAAACTGATAAAGGGAAAGAGAATGACACTTCTAAGTATTTACCTCACAAAGAAAGAATTGCGGATTTCTCACAGCCTGTCCTTTCAAAGTCAGCAATGATGACTTCACTCCCTAAACTTAACTTACCTGTATTTGATGAAGATCCTTGTGTGTGGCCAAACTGGTATGGCATGTTTAAAGCCTTAGTGCATGACCAACGGCTTTCCAAAACACAGAAAACGATCTATCTCAAAGCATCAGTTAAAGGAACTGCTAAAAAAGTTATAGCTGGGATGTTTTTTGATGGTACAATGTATGAAAAGGCTATTGCAGAGTTGATTCAACGGTTTGGAAACCCCACCCTTATTTCAAAGTCGCTGATCAATAAGTTTCTGGAGATACCAGCAATTCAGGATGAAAACACTTCAAGTTTAAGATTGTTTGTTGACAACTTGCACAATATTGTGAGAACACTGAAGACTTATAGTCATGAAGCAGATTTACAAGCAGCAGCTAATATGCAGCAGATTTTTACATAAATTGCTTCCGAAAATTGATGTAAGGTGGAGCAATTCATCGAACCAGACCCCTATGTTCTTTGCGGCATGTGAAGCATGCATCACGTCACGGCGAACTGTAATAGACTACAGTGAACGACGAGGCACAATGGCAAGCGTTGAGCACAAGGATTTCAGTCTTGTCACTGTTCAACATCAACTTGTTTGATGCCATCCAGTTGGTAATATCGCTGATGCATGACTGAACACGAGACAGTGAGTGCATCGGTTCTCCAGTAGCCTTTG